GAGAGAGAGAGAGAGAGAGAGAGAGAGAGAGAGAGAGATGATATGGTGTGCGCTCAACGATGAATGGTGTGATAAGGTGTGCACTCATGGATGAATGATATGGTGTGTGTTGCGAGTGTGTTCATGCTTGATTCAGGGATGATTGCTGTGTGCGCAAGCGATCCAACGAACGCGCACTTTCTAGCCTTGCACGGTGCGTGGATCGTGTTGCATGTTTGCATTACAACGCTTACTAGATTCCTGTCATTTTGCCTGTCAAAACTTGCTCGGTGAACAGTTCGCTCGGCCATCGGCAAACCAGCAGGACACTGCACAACAGAGAGGCCCCGATCACCCAGCCCAAACGATGATCAACAAGAGCACGCGGTGATAAAGTCGACACCGCACACGAGATCAACCGACCCATCGTGAAACACAAACACATTACTCGCGATCGGTCGATTGATCGTGTGTGCTGTCCCAATGCTATCGGCCCCGATCAGCTAGCCGAAAGGATAATCAATCAGAGCGCGTGGTGATAATATCGACACTGCACACTCGATCAATCGACCAATCTCGAAACACAAACAGATCACCCGCGATCGGACAATTCATCGTATGTGCTATCCCAATGCTTTCGCCCCTGATCAGATGATTAATCAAAGCAGGCGGTCGTAATGTTGAGACAACAAACGCGATCAATCGACCAATCGCGAAAAACAAACAGATCACTCGCGATCGGTCGATCCATCGCATGTGTTATACCGATGTTATCACCGCATGTGTGTTTCGCTCGTTTCAATCGCAACATCAAAACAGAATGCGAGGATGTGCGTGTGTGTGTGTATGTGTGCGTTTGTGCGCTGTCTCATTATTATCACCGCTTTTGTGTTTCGCTCGTTTCAATAGCGGGTAGTCAGTAAAAGCACCCCTCGCGTGACCAATCAGCAGATCGTTCGCTTGATCAACTGATCAAGCAATCGATCAGCCGCCAATGGAGCAGTCGATCAATCATTGGATCCTGGCAGATCTACTGAGCAATCGACTGTTTGGTCGAAAACGATAAACCGTCAACCGAGCAGTCGATCAATCAGTTCGATTAAGTTGTGCATTCGCGAAAGGGACAGATTGTTCGCTCGCCGACCAACGTTCAGTTTTGTAATTGCCAGATATAGAAAGCAGATTCAATGTCTGTACGGGTTTGATTAACTGATTGGTTGCCGACGAGCAATCTATCTGCTCGCTGGTCGAACGAAGAGTTTCCCGCGATCGAAAGGAGTGAATGGGCAAAACACATGCGCTGTGGGAGTGTTTTTGTCCATTCACTCGTTTCGATTCGATTGCTCTTCGATCGACCAGCGAACACATCCATCGATCTCAGGCAATCAATCAGTCGATTGGTCACTTCCACGATTGGAAACGACTGTAGGACGACTATGTATCTTCCGCGGTCATGACCGCGGGGTCCATCTCGGCCAGCGGTCGGGATCCCAACCGCTGAGGTCGGACCCACGGGTGGGTGCGGCCGAGAATTTCACACATTTAAAAAAACAAAAATAATAGACAAAAAAAAAACAAAACAAATGGGGTTGTAAGGTTTGAAGAGACGTACAACGCGGTAATTTTTGTTTTGGATTTTAAGTGTTTTCTTATTTAAAAAAAAATAAAAAACCAAAAAGCATGTATTTTACTCAAAAGAAAGTTAATAAAAAAAAGGGAAATTTCTATTTTTTCGTTTGTGTGTGTGTGCATGCATGTGGGGGAAGGAAGGGCGACCCCTTACCCGCAAATCAATCAATCAATCAATCAATCAATCAATCAATCAA